TTATTTATAACTAAAAAATATTCATTCATTTATTGCTTCTTTAATTATTTCTTTGGAGTATGTTTATAATGCCAATAGTTAAAATTATACAGTTATAAATTTTTATGCAATATGGTATCTGCTCTAAACCTTGCAAAACTATTCATTTCAATGGTTTACTGTCAGAAGTTCTCCACTATATTATATGGCATGGAATCCAGGCCAGGTCAGCTAGTCGGTACAAAATGATTGGAGATCCCCCCTGAAGGCCCCGTATTGTTATATTGTATTTTTCTAGTAATGTGGTGTGTTTGACCACAAAATAATTAGTTTATTTCCAAAAATATTTAGGGCCCCTTTGATGGGCCCTCAACATAAATGTTTTGTACTTTTTTATCACCATAGGATGATTAGAGATCCTCTTTGAGAGCCCTGAATATCGTTATTTTGTATTTATCTAGTACCATTGTATGTTTGGTCCCAGAAATAATTGTTTTGTATTTGTTTCCTGCTAATATTTTGGGGCTGCTCTGTTGGGACCCCAAAATAAATTTTTGTAATTTTTTATCATTGTGAAATGATTGGGAACCCCCTCTGAGGGCCTCCTATCATTATTTAGTATTTTTCTAGTACCATGGTATGTTTGGACCCAACAATAATAGTTTTATATTTTTCTAGTATCCCAAAAATAATTGTTTTGTACTGGTTTATTTTCGCAAATTTTTGGGACACCTCTGTTGGGTTCCCAGCATAAATGTTTTTTATATTTTTATCGCCATCGAATGAGTGGAAGGTCCCTTTTGAAAGCCCAAAATATCGTTATTTGGTATTTTTTAGTATTTTTATATGTGTGGCCACAAAAAAATTGTCTTGTATTAATTTTAATCTGCATGTTTTTGGGGCCCCTCCGATGGTTCCCCTGCATAAATATTATGTACTTTTTTATCACCATACAATGATTGGGAGGGGGCCCTTTGAGAGCCCCAAATATTTTTAGTTTGTATTTATCTAGTGCCCTGCTATATTTGGGCTCCAAATTAATTGTTTTGTAAACTTGTTATATATTTAAATCTCTGGAATCCACTTATGTTATATATAAATATATGTAAAGAACTTCAGGTTCTAACGAATCCCCACCTTTAAGTTAATTATTTAATTCATGCATTTAACACATGATGTTGGATGGAGATAACCGTGTGGTGCGGTTTGAAATTGTTTCAGATTATTAAGTGTTTAATGTCGTGTTTCATTGTACTTAACAAATATAAAAACTGATTTTGTTTTTTAGCCAGGTATAATTTTAAGATTTAATGTATTGAAATTGTAATTAATAAAGATCTTGTTTTGTAGAAGCGAAAGCAGTCTAGTTTACCTTCAGTTAACACTAAACAAAATTATAAATCAGAACAATTAAAAACCGCAGTGTAAATAACCAACTGGAAGTTAATTGTAAAATGATTAGTTTTGGCGGGAATAGTGAATAGCCTTCCGCTTTTATAAGGTTATTTACACTCCTGAATATTAAAACAAAACCCCGGCACTGAATATCGACTTTTTGAGGGTGTTTAACTGTGATTGGGAATTCGGGAATCTAATACCTTTTATGACACTGTGTGAGAAGAAACAATAAGAATATATATATGAAATGTGGGACTTAGTAAACACTTTGAATGAATTGACTCACCTGGTTTATTCTTCAATTGTGAGGCCTATAGGACAACTAAATAAAAGGACTATTCACTCCGGTATAATAAAATAATTTATTTTGACAACTGATATAAGTGAATATATTAAAGTCTAATAATTGTAGGCTTGATATTCTTAGTCTTCAATGGAGTAAGCCTCTCTTCCCAGATGACGTCTTGTGTTGGTGTCCCGGCCTCAAGTGTTTGGCGTCATCCTCGCCATCTGTTGCTACCTGATCGGACCTTTTTTCTTATTTTCGATTGTTTATCGATATGAGATTTTCCAATGAGCAATTTGTCCACTGCACAATTGAGTACAATTCACAGTGCAACCTCACATTCCTATATATTATATATTTCTTCTCATTCCTTCACCCAATGTCACATAAAGAAGTAAATACCGGGGGATGTCTACTACAGCACCACACGGTTATCCCCATCCAATATCATGTATTAAATGTATGAATTAAATAATTAATCCAAAGGTGGGGATTCTTTAGAACCTGAAGCTTCTTTACATATATATATATACATGTGTGTATATTTTATATATATATATAATGATAATATATATAAATATATATATATAAAATATACACACATGTATATATATATATATATATATATATATATATATATATATATATATATATATATACATGTGTGTATATTATAGCAATATATAGCAATATATAGCTATAAATATATAGCAATGGAAATGGTTTCCATTGGGCCATATCATGGCTCTGTTTAGGGGGCCTCGGCTATAGTCTGAAGTGGAGGCCCCTTATCAGGAATATATGTATATATATATATATTCATATATTCCATTGGGCCATGATATGGCCCAATGGAAACCATTTCTGAATAGAATCAAGCCATTGCTATATATTTTTTTTCCTTTTTCAACTGTTTCTTTCTATAAGTACGAATATTTATTTTTGTTTTTATTTACTATATTTATTTTTTTCATTGTTATTTCAGAATTAGTATATAGTATACTGTTTTACTTTGATAATATACAAATCAGCAATATCTGTTAGTTAATTGCCATATTAGAAAATGTTAAGTTCATAATATTCCTAATACTATGTATAAAATATTGTTCTTATTCATATCCTTTGTGTTTTAAATTAATATAGGGTCCATTGTTTTCATTTCAATGTACCATAAGGGCAAGTTACTAAACTCACTGCTGAGCTCATCGATGGCATAGAATCTATCTCTGATCAGGGTAAAACGGTGGCATTGATGAGTTCAGTACTGAGTTTAGGAAATTGCTCAAACCTGCTGACTTATTCATTCTATCTTGTTGCCATTTCTTTAATTGTCACTAGGACGATATATTTTATTAATCCACGATATTTTTATTGGAAATCAATCGGTGTGAATAAAAATCAATTTCTATTTCCCTTTTTTCCTTCCTCTTCCTAAGTATAATAAATAAGTTACATTAACTAATTGATACAACATAATAAATACAAGCTTTATTCATCTTGACAAAAATATCCTCAATTTAAAATATATGGTCAACTGTAACTTGTTCAAAGTAATTGATTAATTATTATTATTTACTTTTAAAATCACTCTTTAACTATAGTATTATAGTATTTTCATCATTTCTCATTTACATAATTAATGGGAATAGGAAACTTCTGGACAGAAACTTGAATGGAATAATTTTTTTAATAATTTTATTGGAATTTAAAAAGGCTATTGGTTTATTTTTTGTATAATTATTTCTACCTTCTTTTCAATTTTGTTTTTAGTGTACAGCTTTTATTTTATTTGCTGATCATGTCCTAAGAAGAAATTGTGTAAAATATAAACTTCTTTGAAAATTTACCTCTTAAAATGTTACTGTCCATTTTCTCATCATTTTATCTTGTTAGTGTTTGTAATATATATACACATAGTGGTGTGAGAAAGTCTTTCAACAAGATGGAATGTTTGAATGCAATAAAACAAAATCTAATTAAAATTCATAACTTATTTACCTAAACAGAATACATGAATACATTTACATTCTGTGAGTACACAGAAAATAAGATATTGTTGTCACATAATTGAACAGTGTGTTTACAGTACTTATAAAATCAAATTCTTTTACGCCATCCCTTATTTGGTTTTGCCTCTTTCATTCTTTCCTTTAAACTGAAAATTCATAAAGCAATATATTGTGACAAAATCTTCTCCTGTTCTTCTTGATATTGATATTTTGCCATTTTCTGAAATAAAAGTAACATTAAATAATAAAATGAAAAATAAATCATGAAATATGGAATATTAAATTATATTAACGAAGAGAAGCTGAGAATTCCAATGTTAGAACAATTTTCACAGATTCACTCAGCTTTCTAAAGTTTATTCAATGCCTTTTGATGTTAAGGATAAAGAGTAAAGACTGAAGTGGATAACAAAGTATTGAAGTGTAAACAATAAGATAGCATTATTCAGAGGATTAAAATTAAAATTCAACACAACAGGTTGTGGTCTCTTGACTTATTAACTGAAAATAATGCTAGTTTAAATATATGTTAAATCTACCATGTCTCCAAGCTTAAATCAGTTTACTATTGAAAAGATAAAAAACATTTTTAGATTGAAACATTTATCATTTTTATAAAAATTTTGTTTGTTCAAAGACATTTTCACATCACTATATTTATGTATGTATGTTTATATATATACACATATATATATATATATATATATATATATATATATATATATATATATATAAACAGTGCTAGACTTAGTGCCAACCTGAAGGGGCACCTGTTGGGGACAGCCGAACTTCAGGGGCGCTCACCACTTGTTAAAAATTAAAATTAAAATACAAAACATATTAAAATAAAAAATTTTATTGTCAATAAAGCAACTGTATTAGAGAAATATTAAACGAAATAAAATTCAAATATTTCATAATACAAAACAGCTTAAGAAATAAATTTCATTTTTTTTATGGGAAGGGGGAGATGATTTCATTGTGTGGTTGTGCCAAATGTCTAAGGTCGACACTGTATATATAATGTAAACTTTCATAAATACATACATATTGCCACTAGAGAGCACTGTAATGATTTTTTATTTAAAACTATCCATGGTCTTATGATTATATTGGTATTAATTAAATTCTTTTATTTATCCTGGGTAGCTGAGCAATTGTTGTGATTGATACTTTTTTAAAAGTATAATGCATGATGAATATAATTTTATTTTCATTGAATTTTTATTCATTTTATTAATTTTTATTCTTGGTTTTGTGAAATTAAATTAAATCAAGTATAGAAGGTATGATTAAAAAAATATAAAAATAAATAATTTTTGTTTTAGTACTACTGTGAACATTGCTGGGCAACTATTCATTCAAGGCCAGGAAGGGAATTTCATAAACCTCTCGTTAAAGAAGGAGCTGATCGGCCTCGAGCCTTACCCTTTCGTTGGTGTTAACAGCAGTAGACGTAGGTGCCAGGAAACATTAGCTAATTTTTAGAGAACTTTAGTTCATGTACATTTTTTAAATGGTTGATATTTGTGTAAAATTGATTTCAAAGCCTGATTAAGGAATTTACGTATTTATATAATGCACCTTCTTTGTCATGGTTGATGTTAATATATTGAACTTTTTAAGCTATAGGAATTATTAATTTCCTAATTTTTTTAGTAAAATGAGATATGATTTATTTTAATTATAAATATTAAATTTTAGGTGTAATTAATACTTGAATTGTTTTTTGCAGTAGTTACCAATTCATGAAGCTTAGTAAATAACTGAAGGGTTGCTATTGAAATTTATACAATTAACTATTTTTATAATTTTTTCACATCTTTATTCGAAAATAGTCCAAAAGTTCCTACTATTGGAATTTGGATGGTATAGTTAATTACAATTTTTATTACTATAAAAATTAAGTATATCTATTACTCAAAAGCTATTGTTTAATGTGTGTGTTAATCCCTTTACTTAATAGTTAAAATTAAAAGGAGCATAAAGTTCAATAAACGATGTCATCAATCAATATAAAAACTATTTATTATATTCAATTATTTAAGAGCAATGATCAGGGTCAATACTGATTTAGGGATAAATGAAGAATATTTTTTAATTTTACTTTTATTTAACAAAATTATTTTATTTACATATTTTAATATTTAGTAGAAATGACCAGAGAATAGCTTTAATTTTACATTAATATCAATATGAACTGCTACACCTTGATGTGATGCCATATTATGCTGATGTTCCCCTTAAAAAAATAATAATATACTATTATATTTAAAAAAAAAAACAAACAAAAACTGAGGGTTGATATGGTAATAGTTTATTATGATTTAATTTCTTATACAATTTTAAATTGTTTATCTTATAAAGAATTAGTATTTTATTCCCTTAATCCCATTAATTATCTTAAAATATTATTAAATTATAATAAATTAAATTATTTTGATAAATTTGCAGATGACCATGATGAAGCTTGGTGTTAATTTTCAATATTGCCAACATATAAAAAAATTAACTAATTTGATGTCCTAGTTTTAAATACTAAAAAAATTTAGTTAGGACATTTTATTTTAATTGTTAAAACATTATTTCATATTGTTTTCACATGAGGCTTCAATGCTTGTTGACTCATCCTCTCTCCCTCGAGGAAAAAAAAACAACAAAAAACTATCAATAACAACCCCTTTCAACAAGGTATTTTAAATTACCAAAAAATATCTATAGGAGGCTCTTTTTATTATAAATATACTAACTCTGAAAATAATTCAGTTCGTAATTAAGTAACAAATTTTTTTTTGGATCATCTTAAATTTCAACGATGCATTTTGTTTCTTGACGATTTCTTATGATAATTTCCTTTGATAATTAAATTTTTATCTGAAATAGAAAATTTATGTTATTAATGTCTTTTTAAAACAATTCTGATGTTCAGTAATCGAAGTTAAATTTTTCCTAAGTGATTATTCTCTAAATTGTTTTTTGAAACCTCAACCAACTGTATTATGCATTCAATTATAGATGTAAAACACTGACAGATACATCTTGTCTAAAATAATCTTCAAATATATAATAAAAGTTTTTAAATAATTATGAAGAAATGACAACTGATAATTAATTATCCTTTAAAAGAAGGGATATGGTAGAGAAACAAAATGTATCTGCATAGGCAGATAATCCTCACAATTAATCAACATGATTAAAATGGATTAATGAAACATGATTAAGTATTTTCTATTTATCTAGTTACTCAATATTTCTTAAAGTATTCATTATCCATGCTTCCATATATTTGTGATACTTACTTGTGATATTTTCTTATTACCTAATGTAATTTGCCAGCCATTGATTTTTCATAATGCAGGAATTTTAAAAAATAAAAAAATATTTATTTTATAATAATAATGCTAATTTTCAATAATTAAACTGATGGTTACAATTAAAATAAAATAATAAGTTAAAATATAACCAAACAAATAAAAATCTATAAAAAGTATCTTAGGTTTCTTCAAAAAAATTTTATAATCATAATGTTCTTTCAATAATCGAATCTTATAATGCCTTACCAAGCAAATCATTTTTTCTGAAAGCATTTCATAATTCAACTTATAAATTATTTTTAAAATACACCTGTCAAGTCCTAGTAGTAGAAGCTCCCCCTTTTTGTTTAACTAAAACAAACATTTCTGAATTTATTCCTTACAAATATACCATAAACCTCACATAATTATATAAATCTAATCACACACACACACACACCTGCGCTTGCATGTGTAAACAAAATATTAGTCTTTAATTGTTGACTGAATCAATTAAATAATAGCAGCCCTAGTAATTTTCCTCATCATATTGTGCAAACTGATGTTAATTAGTTGCTAATATGGTAATTGGAAATTATATTATGTCACATTACCATGCTTTCTTAGATACTTTTAACTTGACTTAGGTCTTGAATGTTGTGCAAGGAAAAGTCACTTTTAGAGTTTTATGCCAGCACACATTTTGGAGTTTCATATAAATAAATATAACTTTTTTTTCAAAAAAATTAGTATTAGTGTAGGTTGTCCTTAGGACATGAGAAAAATGTCAATGTATATATATAAAACAAAATTTATGGCCATTATGTTTCTCTGGCTTTTATGAACTTTTTATATTATATCATATTTGGTGATACCAAAAACATGTGTATGTATGAATGTATATGTATGTATATGTATATATATATATATATATATATATATATATATATAATATATATATATATATATATATATATATATATATATATATGTATATATATATGTATATATATACACACATGCATATGCATAATTATATAAATATATATATAATATTTTCTAATTTTTTATGAAAAAAAGTTTATTTCTCTTTTCTTAGTAATTTTTTATAAGAACTTATCATATTCTTTGGACCGTCTTAATTTTTTAAAACATCTAGTCTTATAGAGTCCTTAAAATTTATAATGTTTCATATTCATATCTTAAACAAAAAAAAAAAAAAAAAAAAAAAAAAGAATATTTTTTTATTTTATGGAAGCATTATATTGTTATAGCTGTTACTAACCATACTTTTTAACTGTGCATTTTTTAAAATATATTTTCATGTTTAAATTAAGACATGACCTCTACAAATCTATGAGAGATATTGATTTTCATTTCTCAAGAATAAATCTATAAATTCAATGTTTAAAGATCATTGGACACGATATGTGTAAGTTAGGTATTTAAATTATTTTAATTACTAAATAAATTTATAATGAAAATCGTCAATGAAATTGGGTTTTCATAATCTATGTAAAATTATAAATATTTTATATTTCTTTCACTAATATGTGAAATTTAGCATTTACTGTTTAGGAGAATATATATGATTATTCACGGTCTCAAGAAGTGTGCACATACAGGCATCATATTATATACACAAACTTCAATCATTTAAATTATCTTCATTAAATTTATAATATTTTCTGCTGTCAATAATTTTTATGCAGTATAGATGGATGTTAAAAATGTGAATAGCTCAAAATGCTGGCCACATTTTTATTTTTGAAATATCTCTTCAGGGTAATTTATATGAAGTTGACCTTTTGTCCTTATATACTATTCTAATGAATGTCTTCAGGTATTCTGAGATATAATTTTTGCAATCCTTACATCATACATACTACGATATATTCAGCACCGCATAAGTTTATATTTCCAAATTGCATTATAATATATATTTGTAACATATGACCTTTTTTAAACCTATTTAAACTTTTTGTAACCTCCAATAGATGTAAATAGTTGTTGTAAAAATTAGGTACCAAAAGGAAACTGTAGTTCAAAGACAAAGTATTAATACTTTCAAATTTTTTATACCTACATTAGTTATTTGTAGATAAATTTATTATGTAACTGTTTTGCATTCAATATGTAGCTTAAATTTGTCATTCACATTTTTTATATGAAGATAAATACTTTGTATAGATCATTACCCATTTTTTATAATGGTTAAATCATCTGTTTACTATTGTTGTTATTTTGTTTAAACTGTATTTTTTAATGTGATATTCTGGGAATTTTTAATAGAGGCAATAAACTCTATATATAGTTTTTTTAGGCAATTTAGTGAAACTAAGTAACCTTAATTTGTAGGATTTGTAATAACATGTATTATTTATGCCTAAATCAATGAATTATTAAATCAATATTTTTCTGGTTATATAAATGTCAGATTTCTAAAATCTTTAGCACCTAGATGCTCACTTTTTGTAAAAAAAGTATTTTTTTGGAGCTGAATTTTATTAATATTAATTTATATGAGCAATGTTTTTTATTTAGATAATAGCTGTAAGATTCTTTTACAAGAACTTACAGTTTTTTTCAAGTCTTAAATTGAAACAGTGATATATTGTTAGTTTTTAATGAATACTATGTGTTGTTTTGTAAATTCAATTAGGCAGAATGTTTGAAGGTTTTGCTCTTTCTTATATTTATTTTTATAAATATTATATTGTTGATAATATTTTTATTTTTGAGATAAATTTATTTAAGATTTTCAAAGAACTATTTAATGTACTTGTTAGTGTTGTTTATGTGCAATGCTTCTTTGTTAACTATGAATTACTAGAAACCAATATGTTAAGTCTTATGAAGTGAGTGATTAAACACAACAAAATGTTACCATTTAATTATTTATTTTTAGTGAAGTGAATACTATATCTATTAGTTTAACTTTAACCTCCCAGTCACTTCAGGCTACTATGTAAAACTCATTGTAACTATGTAGTTTAAGTCACCAGTACAAGGACTAGTCGCATCTTTTTAACTTGAAAGTTAAAATATTATTTTTATCTACATATTTTTGTGTAGTTTTTGTTATTTTTGTAGAGTGTGAGAGTGAGCTTTTTTCAGATGTGTTTTATAACTGCTGAATGCTTGTATGAAAGATGAATATAATCGTGTATACACTAATATGTGTATTAATTACTGATTCTGTATGTATTTTTGAAAGTATCTTAAAAAAAAAAAATAGATTACTTGATGTAGTGTCACTTTTTATATTATATACTTAAGTGTAACACCACATATACAGAGTGCTTTTTAAAATTACTTTTGACTAGTACTTTTCCTGTTCTTCATACAAGATGTTAATATGCTAAAGTGGTGTCAGATGATATACATAATATAATATACCAACAATTTAATGAAAAAAAAAACCTTAGGGTCTATTAGTTGCATGTTTAATTAGAATATTTAAAAGTAATGAATTCATTATAAAAGTGTAATTGAAATTGACACTCATATATGTGTGTATGTGTATGTATGTATGTATATATATATATATATATATATATATATATATATATATATATATATAAATTCATGTATACATATAGAAAAAAACATTCAACAAATGCACTCTGCTAAAACTATACCAACTAAGTTGAGTGAAGGGGAAAAGAAAAAATAACTATAATTTTTTTTAAATTATTTATATATCTTGTATTTTTAATTATATAAAGTCCAGGAAGAACTAATTTTACTTTGTTTTATTTAATTTACTTTTTCAATCCTATACATATTGTTTCTATTTATTTTTCATTTATTTATTTATTTTTTAAATCTGGACTGCCAAAGATATCATAAGCAATCTGAAGCTATCATTTGAAAACGTCACACATTTCTAATCATGTTAGTCATGAATAAAATTTTGATAATTAAGTTGTTTTATTGTAAAAATACTTTGTTCCTCGTGTAAATTAGAAATTTAATACTGCGGAATTTGAATTTTTATTGTAAGAGAATTTCATAAATCAAGGGAATGTTTCCATATGTGGTATCACGATACTTTTAAGGCATATCAATAAAAAAAATTGGATTCTTACATAATTAAAAATTGTATTGATAGTTATATTTGTGAAATGTATCAGAATTAATACAAGAAATCTGAAAGGAATGCACTACTTCAATAATAATACATGCCCTATCTAATTTAGTACAACTTTTTACCAAATGATATACCAACAATATCATACATCTTTCATGAATTATTTTATAAGGTACTTGAGTCACAAAGTACAACATATTTATTTTGATGCATAAAGTAACATAAATGCATGATATAATTCAGAAATTTTTATTCAATAATTTGTTTATATGGACGGTAAGTAAAAATGTATGAATAATTTTGTGATTGTTTTGAAATATTTGCAAGTATCACATGAAATGTTAAATTAACATCAAAGAAGTTTTTAGAATTGAAATTTTAAAAACAGAGAGTAATAGAAATGTTTTAAAAGTATATTATAGCATACTAAAATAACTATGTACTTCTATTTTGCAAAAATTTCTTGTTTTAACTTTCTCCTCAAGCTTTTTTGAAACAGTTCATGAAATAACATTTTTTAGCAAATAATCTGAGCAAGTAAATATATATATATATATATATATATATATATATATATATATATATATATAAAGTACTCATGTGGATAGCTAAGTACTTTTCGTACTTGTCGATCATCAAATGAAGTATTGAATAAAGTACTCAGTACTCAAATAGTGTAAATATTTGAGTTAAATACTCACTAATCATTAGTTCTTACTCTAAATATCTTCTACCTCCATCTACATCTAACTGCATACTCCAGAAGTATATAAAACAAAAGACAGACACCTCTGTCTTCCTGTCTATGGCTATTTATTATAGGTTCCAAAAAAGTCTGTAGAGAGATGGCATACCTGAAGAGTACACTGTATGGTCATTTTTACAATTGAAATTATCTTGGAAGGAGATCCTGATTCAACTAGATCTTTTTATATGCAGTACAAAATTGCATCATCCAGATGTTTCTATTCAATACTTCTACAGTAGGAGGTTTTAAACACTTCTGCAGTATTGGATTCTTCTTTTGACTTGATGATACTGAAGCCAATAAAGATTTTTCTAGTGCTCTCATTGAAATCATATGATTAAAATAAAATCTTTTGCTTATTTACTTTATTTATTAGGAGTCCAGTTTAAAATGAAAGACAAGAGCCCTATTAAAAATTAAAACATTTAATACCTAAAAATGATCTTATCATTTTGACCATTTAATTTAAAAGTATGTGAAGTTTTATCTAAAAAATAAGTAAAAGTAAATCACAAGTTTAAATAAGTTATTTTTGGTGAAAACATAGTTTTTTGTTGATTAATTTCTTTCACATTATATATAGTCTTTGTTAAATTTTCTGTTGCCCGTAAAGTATATAAAATTAAAATTGTTGAGGTTTTGAGTGGCAAATGTGTTATTAAAAGTTAGTTTAACATTTAAACAATTTTGAACTCCTACTTATTATAGTAGAAGAAGAAAATTAAATTTAATTCTGAGTCTTTAACTCTTCTAAGAATAATGATAATGAACAATAGAAGTGTCATTTGTTTGAAGTAGCATGGCGAGATATAATTGAATTGCACAGTGATATAATCTTAAAATTAAAATAAAGGATAAGCGTAAGTAAACAAATAAAATTATAGATAAATAAATATCTTTATTTTTACATATTTGTACTGATAAGTAACGTGGGTAATATATAGATGACAGTAAAATAACAGTAAAATGAGGCTGAAAACACTAAAATACGAAAATTGACTCTTACATGTATCCGGAAGATTGATTGCTGAGAAAATAGAAAAATAATCGGTGTTTAAATGAAGTTAAAGATGAGTC